TTTTCTTCTTCAATTCGAGATAGTTTCTTTCTCATTGCTTTAGCCTGATGGCAAGAATAAATAGTTGTATTAGATTGGTAAACGTAGAGCGAAACTAGAAACGTTTCATCTAAACACGAACTCGAATAATTTTTCGTACTGAGGAAATGACTAATAACTTTCGCAATGCAAACGGAAAAAAACTTATTGGCACGATAAATTTACAAGTTATCCTGGTACTTATTGGATGTTCAACTGAATAATTTTAATAACGAAAAAATGGAATACAGCAACGGAGATAACAGTTCAGCTAGGAAATTATTCGAGTCCAAGGATGTGACCATGGGTTGTAACCCTGTCAACAGCCATGTTGTCAAGGGTTGTTACCATGACCTGGGTTGTCATCCTCAGCAATCGAGTCCAGGGTTGTCATCCTGTCAAAAATAGAGTCCAAGGCTGTCACCCTTTCAAAGTTGAGTCCAGGGTTGCCACCCGATCAAAAATCACGTCATGGGTTTGTCACCTTGACTTGTCACCCGGTCAAAAATTAAGTCCTAGGCTGCGATTCTGTCAGCTATCGAGTCTACTAACCTCCTCCTCCGCGAAGCGAAGCTGTTCCTTGAGATCCTGCTCCCGTTCCTGCGTGGCCTGGAGGTCCCGCAGGAGTTGGTCCATGTTATCCTGGCTGCCCTGCCGGCCCATCATCGAGGATCTCTGATGTGGGGAAGATTAGTGCATTATTGGATATAAGATTGTCAAAATATTATCAAGCACACGTAATAACGTCTAAAAATATTAAACATACATAATAATTAGTAATGTGACAGTTATTATTTATAAACAGGAAGTAATTATATAATATCTTCCATTAATTTCTTAATTGTAATTAAAATCTCACAGGTTCTCAAGAAACTTACACGTTTCAATAAATATACTAAAAAAGTTTTGAGTAATGATATTCTTGCAGTTTTTGCACGATAAGATGATGATTTTTAAATAATGATATCTCGTGCAAATAATAATGTACTACATAACACAAATTACATTCGTGCAATTAATACTGTACTATATATCACAAATACATTCAGCGTAGGCATCCTGTATTGCGAAACATCTTTAATGGTCCGTCGATGCTATACTTAATTATGCTCTATGGTACGTTATATAAATGAGTATTTACAAATCATCCCAAAATAGAAACTGTAAATATTCACTCGTAATTGATATAAAATAACTCACACTATATCTGCCTCCAACAGTCTTCGAAATCGGAGAGTCGGCCACTCTTTCCTTCAGCTTCTTCTTGTCATTCTTTTTGCATGAAACAGTAAAAGAGAGAGAGAGTCTCTAATTGCCTCATTATATGCACGTAATTAGAAAGGGCTTTTATGGCGCCGACTTAAATCTTTTTGAAATTCATCGCTTCCCGGCCTATGGGTGCCGAAATTTCATGAAAAAGTCGCGATACATTTAAAGTTTTGCAGTTAATTTGTTATACGCAAAATAAAAATTTATTACGACAATATCAACAAATTTGGAAATGGTCATCAAATTCAAAGATAACATTCTGATTCACATAGCGTCATTAATTACCCGTTAACTTAATACGAGGATATTGCTGCTATCTATCAATAATTTAGACCACATACGCGCTAGAAGAGGTATTCAAAAAATTTTTAAACGAAGATTGATCTCAAAATTTATTAAAAAATTTTAATTATCCATAGGAGCAATCTCACCAGACCATCGCACTGTTAAGCACAAATGCATACTGTTGAATGAGGTGGGCGTGCAAATAGGTTTCCAATAAAATAATTCATGCCTCGCTACTGAACAAAATAAGGCATCATTATTTACACAGGATAATTTACCTCCTTCGCTAAGGAAAGCTCTCTTTCAAGCGACTTTATCCTCTCAACTCTGTCGAGGTCTTGATCACCGAGTTGCAGTTCACGTAATTTCTCCTCCGCCTCACACTTGTCACGCTCTAGCTGCTCAAACACCGTTAATAACAATAATAAATATAACTAATAATAATATAGATAAGATAGATAATAATAGATAATATTGATCATAATAGTTTGCATAGTCCAACGTTAGTAAACTTCTGCAGAGCCTCAGCTTAGCAGTAGAGCATCCAAGAGTGGACGTTTTTGAAGCCTGAACAATTATTATTATCTATACTAGCATATTATCAGACTAAATATTATATTATTATTGACTATTATTATCAGCCTCGCACTTGTCGTGCTCGAGCTGCTCAAACATCGTTAATAAAACCGCTTTTTACGTTAGTTGACTTCTGTGGCAGTAACTTTTATACGTTAGTTAACTTCTGCAGAGCCTCAGCCTAGAAGTGTGGCATCCAGGAGTGTAACTTTTTAAAGCCTAAATTATTAATTTACTTTGTTCCAAGACTATAAACTTATGAGACTTCATGCTCGAGCTACTCGCACGCAATTTTTTAATTTATTTTATAGACCTCAGAAGAGGTCCTATAGTATAATCAGTTTCAATCAAGCTGTATGAATATGAGGCTCAAAATAATTAAATTCCCCTCGGTATCACAAAAAATGAATTCAGTTTATAATTTTAAATTTTCACTCACTCGTACATTACCTATTATCAGTAAACCACCTTGAAATTCGTATTGCTCAGCGCTAAAACTTATTATCAGCCTCCCCGCATCACTCATCCACCATTACATTTGTTTTCAGTCAGAGTTCAAAGCCTGTTTACATTATCCATACATCGCGAAAACTTCAACTCAAAATTTCAACATGCTCAGCTACCACGAAAGCTTTTTTACCTTTACTCAGCCTCATAGATAGTCTCTCATCTTTGTTCAACTTGAACTGCATTACCTTGCAGCTTCAGTCAGCCAGCAAAGAAGCCTTCACTCACCGTACCTGATCTTCTTCCAGCCTTCTTCAACTTTAAATGCAGCATCCTGCAGACTTCAGTCAACTCTAAAAGAAGTCTTCACTCACCGTGTCTGCTCTTCTTTCAGCCTTCTTCAACTTTAAATGCAGTTTAACCATCAAAGAAGCCTTCACTCACCGTATCAGCTCGTCTCTCAGCCTTCTTCAACTTTAAGTGCAGCACTCTGCAGACTTCAGTTAACTATAAAAGAAGCCTTCACTCACCGTACCTGCTACCCGGCTTCAACTTTAAAGGCAGTAGAAGCCTTCACTCACCGTGTCAGCTCGTCTTCCAGCCTTCTTCAACTTTAAATGCAGCACCATGCAGACTTCAGTTAACCATCAAAGAAGCCTTCACTCACCGTGTCAGCTCTTCTTTCAGCCTTCTTCAACTTGAACTGCATGACCCTGCAGTCTTTGGCTCTCTGCTCGAGCTCGCGCTTCAAATCTCTGTATTCGTCCGCCTGATCTTCCCTGAAATTGTCCTGCATTTCTTCAATTTCTTCCTCCATTGCTCTTATTTCCTTTTTGTAGTCCTCATTTTCGTCCATGAGCTCCTCGCACAGCTGCTCTGCTGCCTGCAGCTTTGACCTCAAGTCCTTGTAGAGAAAATCAAAATAGATCTAAAATAACCCAGAGAAAATCATTATCCCACTATACAATGAAAATCATTATATAATGATACGCAATATATCATTACATAATGAAAATCAGTATAGCTAAGTTTTTCTAGGAGTAGAAATATTCATTCAATAAGTTACTGAGATTTTATCGAGATTTTTAGCTCAAATCTCGACCCGCTTTATTTTATGTAAAATTGCATTTATAATTAATTTGTATTTAAAGACGCTGACAATTCAGCTTCCTCAGATTTTTGCTGTGAATATTAGAGGACGGGAACAACAGAGTGCAGTCGATTTCAATGGCCCATTTCCAAAAGCTGCTAAAAATCATAAGAGATTGTTTGAGTTAAAATTATTTGTGTACGACCTCTCAAACTGCAAACTAATACCTATAAAAATAGACCATATAGATTTCCTACAATTCGAGAATATCATATTACTGAAAAACAATTGATGGAACATACAAGGCAAAACGTTAATCCAAATTACATGAGGGCATGCGCTATAAGAGTTTCCGACTATAAACACGATTTGTACCTAAAACGGAGATTTGAATTTATGGTAGACAATTAATTGATATAATTTTTAGAATCAATGAAAATACAAGCAATTAATTGCTTAATAATTTCATTGTTAAGATGGAACGGAAATAAAATGCACCGGTCTTTTTTCTGACGCATACAAACAATTTTTGGGAAAATCTTTCCTCTGATCTGGCGTTATGCCAGACCTTCCATCAAAGTTTTCCTCGAAACCAACAAACGACCTGAAACCTGGAGGGGGAGGAACATAAAATGCAGAGGCAGCCGTTCTTATTTTTTATGCTGATAGTCAATTTCTGGGCGCTATTGGGGCAGGGCTGATGCTTTTCATTCAAGTTCATAACCCGAATTCCTTAGAAATTATCCCATGGAGAATATTTAACCGAATCGTAGATCTTATAAACCGGAGATTCTTGTGCATTATGTATATTTTCACACTACAAATTGATTACACTTGAAAATGCTAAAAATGATCCGCAAACACAAATTATTATTGGCAATCCTAAAGCTAAAGTTATATGAAAACAAAGTTGGAGGCAATCGACCTGGGGCGAGCGAGTTACGCGAGCCCAAAATACAACTGATAAATATTTTCGAAAAAATTTCAGGCTATTTTAACGTTCTTTTATCTCAACTATGAGGCATACCCGCAATGAAACTGCATAATTTATGAAATTATTTCCGAAGTTGGAGTTTCGAGATTCGATTCCGTGAAGCAGCTCTCAAAAACCGTTTGGCAAGTCTGTTGTAAGAAGATCTGGTGATATCGAGAATAATAGATTCAACGTTCGAACGGATATTAAACGGGAAGCATATCATCAAGCGGCGACGGGGTAAAATCCGACTGCCTTGAAATCAACGACAATAAACCCAAATATTTCTGAGTGTAGCCATTTATCGCCGTGCCATGATATAGTGGAAGGTATCGAGGTGCCGAAGAATGCCCATAAAATCGATTTATGTTTACACATAAGACATTATTTCACCTTGAAGTAAAGCCATGGTATTATATTATTCCTGATCACGTTCGTAATTGCAAACATCGTAGATCCAAACATCACACATAATGTTGATGTATCTATACGCCTTGTAGTGTCAATGATGATTAGCCATAATTCATTTGAACTCACACCAAATTTTTAAAATAAGCCAAACAGTCACAATGTTTGCTGCTATAAGTGTGGAGCCACAAAAAAATTTCTTAGCTATTCTCCAATACTGAAAACAGGAGTAGGTTAGGTTTTATTTAAATTAAAGGCATGATATACATATTAAAACTTTATACAATGAATGATTATACGAAATATAATAAAAATATAGGAGTATTAAAAAATATCGGTGTATTAATTTTTATAATCAAGTAAAATCTACTTTGGGCGGGGGGGGATTAATATGGAACAATTAGCACTGATATTGTTTAAGCAATACATAGGTTAGTTTTCCTTGCGCATTTTGCTTTTAAGTATGTATACCCCATTTATGCAAACATTTAACATTGCACACTATTCATGACCTTAGATATACATTTTTTCCTTTTGGTACAAAAAAATTCAAGTGTTTTTCACACTCTATTTTAATTTTAATTAGCGGATTGAGTGCTCATTATGATTATTCAGAAGAAAAAAAAATTAAAGCAATTCTAATGAAATTCCATCCTGTCGTTCAATTTTGGAATTTCGATGTTTGTTTTCTCCGGCATGATTTTCAAAACAAATTTAACGTTATCGGCATCTTCTTTCAAACTTTGGTCTAACCATTAACTTCAACTTAGAAGAATTTATCTTATTTTTACTTTTTGCCACTCTATAATACAAGCTTTAAACACTCGAAATTAATGTGGACTTTAATTTTCTTTAAATGCAAGAGTATAATGAGGCTGATGCAGGAGAATGAACTCACATTTATGGTTTTTTCGACGTCTTTGGGCAGAGGGCGTTTGTCGATCTCTTTCTTCAACTCTTTCACTTCCTTCAACTTCACCTTGTTGTCGTCGCTCAACTCGTCGATCTAGGGAAGATAACATAATTTTATTAAATTAATTATTTCATTAAGTTAAACTCTGCTTTGTCTTCTCAGCTCAACTTGTCGCTCTAGGGAAGACACCATAGTTTTATAAATTTTGAAATCATGGAGCATTTCAGTCAAAATGAAACTATTTTTGTTTACGGACGGATCGTTTCAAAACTTGGTGCACAAATGTAAAACAGAATTCTAAGACTTTTTTGTTCGTGTGAATTTTTCGAACAAATCAAAGAAAACGATAAATTAACAGAAAACGGTACCTACTGTAGAAATCTATCTCCTCATGCAGTATAATAACAAAAGCGGTTCCAGCGTTTATTAGGCCGTAGGCCTGTCGCCGATTCTTAACATCGCAGAAAATTCACAGCATTTTGAGGTCTCGAACTCGCAACTCCCTGCTACAATTTTGCTGTGCTTAACCGCCCGGCCTCCTCGCTGATTCTGACCAGAAACTGGCGCACAGAGCTGGGATCGAACCCGCGCCTCTCTGCGCCAATCTTGGTATTCTGAACTTTAACCACTGGGCCACCCTGCCCTTAACCACTGGGCCACCCTGCATGCTACGATACATGCTACGATATCGAGACACATCATTCGATGCGCAAAGAGTCAAAGACCATATTTAGAATCCATCCGGTCATTTTTTCCAATTTCGAATTTGTTCGGGGGGGAGAGGGGATTTTCCAAAAATTTCTAAAATTTCCCCTTCCCCGCCCCCCCTTTTCCAATATATAATTAAAACTATAACGAAATAGAAAAAATGATCGGATGGATTTTAGAAAATTTAGTTACGAATCGAATGGTATATTCTTCATTGCTTTAGCTTAAAAATCATAGGAAGAGATAGATTTCAAAGGTGCAAAACTTCAACTTTTCTGGAGAGAAGAAAAACTGAAATTTTTCGCCATTGAAGGTGTACATTTTCAGCTGTGAACGAACGAACGAACGCACAAAAATGGCTTTGGGCATTTTAAATGCGCAAAACTTGGCCCTTTAAAATGACACTAAAAACCGGAAATTTTTTTTTTTCGATTTTTGACCGAAATGCTCCCCTTAATTCCATAAGTAATGTTGGCTTCATGATTAAAATGCGCATTCATCACATATGAAATGCAACTGAGACAAATGCATATTTTTATATCACAATTCGAGGATACTTTGAACGAAGCCCGTGTTGAAATAAATGTTTAAGAATGACTTGAGGTACAAAATTTCCGATGCCTTAACTGATTTCAGCTTGTTTTCTGTTGACTAAAGGCATCTACATTGAAGGAGGAAATAGAGAAAGTTCATATTGAAGGAGAAAATAGAGTATAGTTTATATTGAAGGAGAAAATAGAGTATAGTTTACAAACGTGGCTTTTAACACAATCATTTCTGATCAATTATCGACAATGCAGAGTAGAAATATCGGCACACCATCTTTCATGAACAAAAATGTTTCTTAGTCATTATTAAATAAATATTTAAAATTATATTGTCCTCCGATTAAAAACCATGTACAGTTCATGTCTGCGTTTCATAATTGGAAATATTCTTTCTTTGTGATTGACACTGGTCAAAATATTCCTATATAAATTGCCAAAAAAATTTTTGAGATAATTTTTTGCGGGTCGGAAAGCATTTTTATTGTTGATTTCAAAACTGTCTTTTTTTTTATTCTAGCATGTCTGATTGCTGAAATATTGGTATTTTTAGGCAAAGTATTTATTATTATTATTTAGCAAGTTAGTACCTGTATCTGCTCCAAAAAACGGCACGGTAATCTACAGGAACTGTGATGTTGCTACTATCTATGTATGTGGCTTGGTGAGAACTTTGGAGCTTTAGGTAAAGTTTTGGTTATATGAATATTTATTAATAATTTAAGGTCCTGACTGTTTATCTGAAGCACACTCTTGATATTATTGTTCATCGAGGTAGCAATTATATATGTTCATTAGTGTATAACATGCATAGAATATATTTATTTTCATTAGTAAATTTTTTTTGTTTGTGCATTATGTCCTTATATAGTTATAGGCAACACAGACATTTAATTAGAGGTTATATATATTTAAATATAAAGGGTATGCTTCGGTTAAATGCATAATTATACGAGTATATCAATATATAATTATCATATATATTTTACTGAAAAATGAGAATATTTAAAAACTGCACGAGCTAGAAAATAAAGAAAGCCACTATTGAAATCAGCAGTAAAAATGCTTCCCATTTTACACAGAATGATCTCAGATAAAATTTTTATTGACCATTGTGCCTATTTTTATGTCAATACAATTCAACGCTTATAATTGTAATGTACTGAGGTAAATATAGTGGGAATACTTGTGTGAAAGTGAGTACACAATTTTACTGCTAAGAATGAAAACTCATGTGAATGCGAGAGTAATATTCTCACACAAATAAATTTCTGCCAGCGGGCATATGTTGTTCTAGTCTTTAGAACGAAATTTCTTCTTCTTGTGTGAAAGAGAGTACACAATTTCATTGCTAAATATGAAAACTCATGTGAATGTGAGGGACATATTCTCATACAAGCATATTCTGCCAGCTGGCATGTGATTTCTAGTCTTTAGAACAACATTTCTTCATTTAGAATTGTATTGTTTTCATTTCAGGAAATCCAGACGGCGGTTATGCAAAGCAGATTAGCATGCATCGTAGAATATGGTTTCCGAGGGCTAATTTCTAAGCCTCGTGGCCAGGGTTTAAAGCCAAGAATAAATCATGATTTGGCCATGAATGCATAGAGGGAACTTGGAGAAATGTGATGAGCGTAGCAAAGAAAAAACAAGCTTGTTTTCGTATTTCAGCGTCGTATATAATGAGGTTTAACTTATAAAGAGTCTTCTTCAACCCTGTAAGAGCTTATATGCGAAAATATATCTTATATATTATCGCATAATATTATTAATATATCGCATAAATAATATATATCTTATATATTATCGCATATTAGCTCTTATAATATCTTATATTATAAGAGCTTCAACCTTGTAAGAGCCTTTATATTCGTAAAATGCAGTTTTTTATACCTTATTTCTATCATAAATAAAACCTTGAACTCCAAGTTTTTTGAAGAAATTTAGGATTTTTTGTACAATTCTTCTAGGGATGAATCCCGAACAGGGAAGCTGTCAAGAATTGCTGCGACAAATCATAATCAAAAAATATTTTTTCGTCATTTTTAATGTTTTCCAAAATGAGGGAAATTTATGTTTATATAAAAGTCAAGTCAATAATGGCTTGTCGCGATATATTTATCTATATCTCTCTATATATAATTCTGCAAATTTCACTATAAGCATGTCTGTCAGCACTCATTATATATCAGCAATCAGTAATCACTGTATTCACATATCTTTCTGAAATTTTAACACTATTTTGTTTAATTGTGTGGAGATTATTTAAATATAACGTTAATTTTAGCTAAACTGGAACGCGTGCTTCTGTATAAGTGCGCTGTCGTCTTTAAGTTTATAGCTGGATAAGGTGGAACGTGCAACACATTTGTATCCCGTTGCCTAAATGTGTTTGGTTAAAAATTTTCAACATTTACTGTATTTAAAAATTCGCAAAAATGATGAATCAAATATGAGTGAATCTTGCACTCGTTTTTCAGTTCAAGCAATATATAACACATAAAACAATTAAAGGGTATATTCTCCATATGCTATTGACAAACTTCTTACAAAAGCGTAAGCAGTGAGCAGACCTAGAGTTTATGCGGCCTTTTGCCGGACCAAACTAGGTCAGCAACATACACACCGCTATTTAGACAGCGGCTTGTTACATTATATAAACAATAACAGTAGCAGATCATGATGCAAACAAAAGAACAGTAACCAGCCCTGAAGTGGAAAAAAGAACATTATCAGACCCTGCAGCGGTCAAAGGAACAATGTCAGAAACTGCGGTGGTCAAAGGAACAGTTCCAGAGCCTGCAGTGGTCAATGGAACAGTTCCAGAGCCTGCAGTGGTCAATGAAACAGTTCCAGAGTCTGCAGTGGACAAAGGAACAGTGTCAGAGACTGCAGTGGTCAAAGGAAGTGTCAGAAACTGCAGTGATCAAAGGAACAGTGTCAAAGACTGCAGTGGTCAAAGGAACAGTTCCAGAGCCTGCAGTGGTCAATGGAACAGTTCCTGAGCCTGCAGTGGTCAAAGGAACAGTTCCAGAGCCTGCAGTGGTCAAAGGATCCAGACCTTGCAGTGGTCAAAGGAACAGTACCAGAGCCTGCAGTGTTCCAGAGCCTGCAGTGGTCAAAGGAACAGTACCAGAGCCTGCAGTGGTCAAAGGAACAGTACCAGAGCCTGCAGTGGTCAAAGGAACATTACCAGAGCCTGCAGTGGTCAAAGGAACAGTACCAGAGCCTGCAGCGGTCAAAGCAACAGTAGCAGAGCCTGCAGTGGTCAAAGCAACAGTACCAGAGCCTGCAGTGGTCAAAGGAACAGTTCCAGAGCCTGCAGCGGTCAAAGCAACAGTACCAGAGCCTGCAGTGGTCAAAGCAACTGTACTAGAGCCTGCAGTGGTCAAAGGAACATTACCAGAGCCTGCAGTGGTCAATGCAACAGTGCCAGAGCCTGCAGTGGTCAAAGGAACAGTTCCAGAGCCTGCAGTGGTCGAAGGAACAGTTCCAAAGCCTGCAGTGGTCAAAGGAACAATACCAAAGCCTGCAGTGGTCAAAGGAACAGTTCCAAAGCCTGCAGTGGTCAAAGGAACAGTACCAGAGCCTGCAGTGGTCAAAGGAACAGTACCAAAGCCTGATGCCGTCCAAGCTTGGCTGAATATTGTAGACGCCGAGAGTGCAAAACCGTGCAAAGTGATGCAGCCTCGTGTATTCTGCAGTATTCCCGTCAGTGAGATATGCGCAGGGTTGAGACGAGTTTCTATTCAAATGTTAAATCATAAAAACTGCACAAAAATGAACGGAAAATTCACGTTGACACTGTAACGTGTTGCGATGTTTCACAGATGTCAGACTGAAATCATGAAAAGACGTAGAAAGGATATAAAAATTAGAAATTATTAATCTTGAAAAAATTAATCTTTAAACTTGTAAATGTAAATCTTAAACGGATAGTCGCGATCCTCTAATTCATATCATGCAGTAATATAGATTTTCATATAAAAACGATGGAATCAAGGATATTTATACAGAAAGCGAGTATTTTTTCAGCTCACTTCTGCCATTGGACCAGTTTCTCCAGAGAATTTTTCAATATTCTTTTCATGATTGATGCAAGTGATGAATAATACCTTAAATTTGATGACGCTTCTTTCAAAACAGATGAATACAAAATTTATGAAAACATAAAAAATCTTACGGTTTGTCGCCGATAATATTTGGTCGCCGAAAATCAGCGATCTCGACCAAATTTTTGAGATATTCTTTTTCTATCGATTTTTTTGTCTGCTTTTAAGTACATATGAATAATTCTAGCGTTCAGCGTGTAAAACAATTTCCAGTCGGAATTTTAAACCAATTCACAATCTCTGCATGCGGATCCCCACTAAAATAATTTCTCGTTATTTCGTGAATCAATGTTGAGTTTTGCTGCCAAAAATAAAAGTTATACATCAGAAACGTTCTTTTTTTTTTTTTCAACTTTTTCCAAGGCAAATTTTTTTTGTTTTTTTGTTTAATTTGCCTTTCAAATTGGAGTTTTAAAAGTTTTCAACGGAATTTAGGGTTTAGGAATCTTTGTGGTTTTCTTTTTTTTCATATTTTAGTTTGTACAGGGACTCTCACCTTGTGCTGCAGTTTGCTGACATCCGTAGACTTCCTGGCATCTCCGAATTTAGACTTTTTTGTGCTGAGCTCCTTATTTTCGCACTCTAGTTGGTTATATTTCTCACTGAGCTCCTTCATCTCTTTCTCTAAAATCTTGTTCTCTCGTTGTAGTCTCTCAACTTCTGAGTTGAGGTCGATTTCAACCTTCTTTGGCTTTGGTTTCAGTCTTATTACGTACGATGCGTCAGCTTCAGAGTCGTCCATGGATTTCACCTCCTAAAAAAGCAAAACTCCATTAGTTTTCGCATGCATTATTATAGGTGTGAGGAAAACCGCAAGCCGTGGTCAAAAAATACACTGTAATTTCTTTTCTTAAAAACAAGATTAATAAAAGATACTATCGATAATTTTTGTTGTGACAATTGCATGAGTACAGCTGGATAATGTGCATGTTTGTCTTTAAACTTTGAAAATTCGTACGATGAAATAAAATCAGTTACTTGATGACAAAATATGAAAAAAACAAAATTACTAATACCTGCCACGAGTCGTCTGAATAGAAAAAAAAATATAGAGAATAAGCATGAAGCAATGAAAAAAATAATTCAAAATTGATCTAATTTCTGGAATTCAGTGTTCTCAGTTATATCATTCTGAGATGATTGTATATCATGCAGATCAAAATTGTGAAATATTACGCGAGATTGGAATATCATTCGAATATTATCAAAATTGCACAACCAATATGATAATTGAAATTCCACACAATATAAAACTGGTGGTAACACAGAATCATGACGAAGAAACGGCGATAAGTATCGATAAGTATCGAAAATAACGCACATTTTGCGCGAGTCACTTGAGACAGAAATTTCGTCCTCTAATTCACGAAAACAGCACGAAAAGAACGTCGAATGCATGCGATACACGAAACAACGTATCAAATTCACTGTAGACGAGATAGGGTAGCTCGTATTTTTTGCCAGGTTTGTTCGACTTTTTCATGCACTCTCCTGTTTCATTGACACGAGGGAAGAGAGAGAAATTCCTCTTTTTTTAATACGTTAAGGAAATCTTCCAAATGCAGCATTTACCTCTGTTAGTGTGTGCTCTCAGTGAATAAAATATTTTGCTCTTTAGAATGCATGCTAATCCACCTTAAGATCGCCGGTACCGCCTTACAAGATATTCTCGTAATAGCACAGCATGTGCTTACGTGGTAAAGCCCTCACAAGATATTCTTTGAAGGGCACTGCTGGCGAAAAATTAAAATTCAATTATTTCAAAATGTCGTCGTAATGGGTAGAACTGAAAAATATATTCTTCAAAATATTCTCCCTTTCACTTGCGTCAACGTTTAGGATCTGCCACAGACAAACGATGTTCGTACGTGAAATGCAGATGGTGTAGCGCGCAATACAGAGGATGAGGCGTGCATCACAAATGGTGCTATGCACAAGACGAGTGGTGAAGCGCGCAACACGGATGATAAGGCATGCATCACAAATGGTGCTATGCACTAGACGGGTGGTGATGCGAGCAACACGGATGGTGAGGCGTGCATCACAAATGGTGCTATGCACAAGACGGGTGGTGATGCGAGCAACACGGATAGTGAGACGTGAGGTTTTACTCACTTGAGACGCGGCTCTGCTCTCGCCATGAAGGTCTAGATGCTTCAGAACAAAATTAAAATGAATGTTTTGGGGAAAAAAATTTCTACGTGAAAAATTAACTATAAGGAGAAAAGAAGATTATGTATAGAGTATAGGGGAGAACAAATTAAATAAATATGTTCAAAATCAGACAAATGCTCAAAATTAAATATTTTTGTATCAATAATTACGCAAAATAATATTGGTTGCAGCTAAAATGTTGAATTAAAAAAATATTCTACTGACAATTTTGCGCTCCTATATGTCTAACAATTTTTAATAAAAAAATCATAGACAACTTGAAAGGTTTTTTCTATTCTCATTTATTTAACAAAGATTTAAAGATTACTGCGGATGGAATATCATTAATTTTCAGTTGGAGAAAAAGAGCTTAGAATACCAAATGTTAGGTGATAAGAATTAACAAGATCAAATTAATCTATATCATCGGTGATTTCAATTTTGGGTTAATCTGGGAAAGATATTTATTATATTAGCAAAAATGTAATATAGAATGAGATGAAATTTCAAAAAAAGAAAGAAGCTGTAAATTCATTTGAAATTCATGGTCCATAAAATCATTCGAAATTCATAGGCCCGCAATAGAAGCGTTACACACAAAACGGTCGCTCATATTGTGGAGTGAAAAACTGCAGGAAAACACAAAAGTTTGAGTTTTGCCAAATTCCACGAAGCCAGAAATATGGGGAAAAATAAAAGCATATAAATAAAGCCTTTGCATAACGGGGAAAGAAGTTGATAAAAGAATAATTTTTTATAAAGCAAAGTTTAAAGCGTTTGTTTCTGCCTCACCGTGTCTGATTCAGACCCACATTGTTTGCAGTTAAATGGTAACTTGATCAGATTTCCAGCATTGTCCACACTAGACCTCACCAGTTTTTGCTTTTCCACCGATGAATAAAAGTTTATTTTACAATTATCTAACCTTCCCCTGCATTAATAAAGTTTTAATTCAGCTCAACCTTTTCTTCTTACCTTCAATGAAAGTATTGTTTTCGGTCTGGTCTTGGATTTTTCTTCAGAACTCTCCCGTAGGTCTGGCAAGTTAGCGCTCTGTGACCTCTCCTTGATTCGAACCGGAGCCCTCGGTGGCCGAGCCTCTGCAGTCATCGAACTTCTTGGGCTGTTCGACGTCTCCGAAACCGAAGCCAGTGAGCGGGTAGAGGGTCTGAGTGTAGAAGTAGAACTACTACTACTACTTTTTCCTTGTTCTTCTTCCTCTCCTGTGTGCAGGGAACCATTCCTCGAAGACTCTTTGGTATCAGAAGCGAGCAATGATGGCGGTCGACCGGGAGATTTGGTTCTCATTGCTAAGTAAGAGGAAAAGCTACCATAAACTGAGGACCCGCTGCCATCTTGTTCTTTTTTGTCGTTGGAAGAATTTGAAGAGGATTTTGATTCGTAACCAGCATCTTTGTCGAGTGACTTTGTGCTGCCTCCGTACGGTGAGTATAAATCTGCGGGAATTAATATAAAAACATTTATGTGACATGTTTTATCAAGTAGTTCAGTGACTACAACAAATTTTTAAATTAAATTAATCATAGAGTTGAACTTATTTCTGTGAGTAATTTTCTGAAAACAGTTCGTGAATGAATGAAAAGTTGGAAATCGCTATAGTAATTCCTTATTTTACAGCAGCATGTAATTATTTGAAGCTGGCTTATACAAATTTAACATTAAATTTAACGAAAATTATATTTTTTGTACATATATACTTTTTAAATCTCTGTTCTCAGTTTATCACTGTTTTGACGGCATTACTCATCAAGCCCATCGAATAACTATAATAAAATTTCAAAGGAAAAAACAATTACTATTTAATCAAAGTAAATATAAAAATTATTTTAGAAGTGCAGAAGGCAAGTTACGAAATAATAAAGTGTTAGCAACGGTTATTGTCGACGTAATGCTTCTTCAGTGCATCGCACGGAAGTAATCCTTAGCTTACGACAAATTCTGTTGCATCACATGCAGTTGTGAGTCGAAACGAAGCACAACTCTAAGCTGATGCGTAAAAATTCCTTACAGAAATTTCATATCCTGAAATGTCTGACAAAATTATCTTATCTGTATGTAAGATACAACTAAAATTTACACGAGGCATTTGATTTGTTTTCGTAAATGTTTTCATGTGTGTGGTACGATTAGTTGCTGATACGCTGGCAGCTGATGAGATGGTGTCACTATTGAAGTGAATAAATCACAATGATATTTTCGAGTGAATTTAAAAATATTTCTATTGTCGCCGTACACCGAAAATGTATTTAAGAATAAAAATAATTTGAAAACGGCTCGATCTTTCTTGCAAATGTCATTTGAAGCTTATAATTTCTTAACAATATGAGGATAATTGATGCGTTGAAAAACTATTAATGACGAAGAATTCATGTTCTCACTTCACGCGCTTTCAAATTTATGAATTCTTACACAATTTGCCACTTACATGGTACCTATGCCCAAAAAATGTACCTGCAGACCGCATTTCTATTACCCATTGAACAAAACTTTTGTTTCTTCTACTAACAGAGCTCGTATTGCTATCCTCTGGTGTAACGGTAACTGGTCAAGCAAAAATTCATTCCGTGCTTTTTACAGAGAATTGGAGACAGTTTCAAATTATTCACTTGGGTTTTGTCGGCAATTTTTTTCTCTGCATCCTGAGCGAAACAGTGAGGCAGCATCCCGGAAAAAATTGAGCACAAAGACAAGTTCAGTTCGAAAATTTAATTACGGAAATATTTTTGTATCTCGAATTAAACAAAGAAGTATCACCAATAGGCGATATTCCTCGTACCATCAACGTGCAATGAAAATTTAAAACTATTTGATAACAAATACCTCATAATAAGTGATGTAAAGCATATCCACAGCCTAAATTTAAATTATTCCGTCATGATAATCGCTTGCCGAAAAATTTTCAAGATGGTAAATTGCAGTATTCTTTGACTCACAACTTGTGTCTTTAAGCATCTTCCGTGCACGAAAAATGAACGGAATTAAAGAGAAAGACTTTGATTTGGGCATCGCGTATCCCAGTCGAATTGACAAGTCAATCGACTCCCTTAACGATGCCAGCAGCTCCGGTGGCCGGTTGGTTATCCTGCCTACGACTGGGTGCGCTGATAGGCTATCTTTGAAAATACGGCACTGAACTTCGGGGGCCATACTTTCAAAACTCACTAAGTGAACGTATGTATTTACGCTCTATTTTCTTGTCGATGATTGATGGATTTTGCTTGAAAGGCCGTCAATGATTGGCTGATGAACTTACGATCTCTTAACTTTTTTTGAAAGTATGGCCCGGAAGACGAAGACAAAAATATACGTCGCAGTTTATGCAGAAAAGGTCTGGTATTTCTGAAAATGGAGGATTGATTGTGTACGATGATATAATGCTGGTGTGGATGGAATGGGAATGGCTACTCGCTGTTATAAACTACGGAAAATAAAATGGTTTGGTATAGTGAGAAAAACGAAAATACCAGTGTATGGAAGATGGATCGATTATCTATATTAGCGTTGACTGTATTAAGTAGTGTCTGTTGCTGCTTAGACGGACTGGCAAATTACATGCCTAAGTATGAGTATTAAAAACATATTATGTTCATGCACACAATGCGTGTGAATTTGAATGCGTGAGAATATGATGCATTCCCATGTATAAGTTGATAAATAACAAGTTATATTGTACATAGTAACTTTCAATACTACTCATTTACTTTCTGATTATTGCGATCTACTCATGAACCATTCACAACTCGTAATGGGACAAGAAATAAACACCAATTTAGTTTAGTAACGATATTAAATAAATGACATGTCTCTCTTCCAATATAATTGTTATGCAAGCATTTGCATGTAAACAATGTATCGCCACCGGAGGACAGTACGTTCAGTGAGCGCACTGTGTAGCTTGGGTGGAGACATCTTTGTTCTCGGCGTGTCCTCAGATCTGCACTTTTCTTAATCGAAAAATGTCTTTAATGAGGCGCCAATTGAAGATAATTGGAATAAGAATAAAGTTCTAAGAAATATCGAATTGGGGAAAAAATGTCTTTAATGAGACGCCAATTTGAGGATAGTTGGAATAAGAATAAAGTTCTAAGAAATATCGAATTAGGGAAAAAAATGTCTTTAATGAGGCGCCAATTGAGGATAGTTGGAATAAGAATAAAGTTCTAAGAAATGTCGAATTAGGGAAAAAAATTTCTTTCATGAGACGCCAATTGAGGATAAAAATATAAGAATAATTCATGGCTGGGAAAGACTCGCACTTTTTTAGTGCGGGAGTGAAGCTGGAACATGATATTGCACTGAGAGAATTTTTGCCGGATTTTTTTGTAGCTAAAGTACATGTGATCATTTTTTAAAACTAATATTTACTCCCGCGAATGATAAGTAGATAGAAATCATCTAAAAGATATATATATTTTTTGGATTTAAGGAAATTTAAGGACTAAGATGAGTCGATTGTGAAATATATAATTATTTTTGCAATATTTTCACCCTAAATTGAAAAAATGTAACTCAGTACTCAGAGAGCTCATTTTCTCAGAGAGCGCAAGTCACGGATGGACAGATGGACGGACAAGTCACGGACGGACGGACCGACGGACGGACGGACGGACGGAAATGACTCAGACGTAATACGGACGGAAATGACGAGCACAATAGCGCCTTTTTAGCGCATTTTCTCATTTATGGAAAAAATGCACTATTGTGCTCGCCATGTCCGTCCGTCCGTCCGTCTGTCTGTCTGTCCGTCCGTCCGTGACTTCACGTTTTCGTCGGTGAGAAAATGCGCTCTCTGTCACTCACTGCAGTGAGTAATGAGTTATATTTTTTTCATAAATGAGAAAATGCGCTAAAAAGCCTGGAATCGAAAAAAATGCATTCCACCTTGTATATAGGATAATTTTTCGAGTGGGCTCATATAGAGCACCTAAGACCTGTGATACGCTCGATGAATAAAAAAATTAACATAATGTATTTCAATACTAAGTCTAGAGAAAGAAAAAGTAATAAAATACTAAATAAGTAAATAAAATATTTATAAGTCATTAATTTTTTATGTAGCAAGCCAATGCCTCCCGATGATTAAAAAATCTCAGGACGGGTAAAATTGGCGCAGATTTATTTAGGCAGTCGTCGACACTCGAGGCACGTCAGGTGTCACGAGCTCAGTANAATGATTGAAAAAAAGCACTAGCTCAGCTTCCATGTGCTGTTTTAGGCTATTATATCCCGAGGTTTCATCTTGATAACGAGTTGCTTTAAATTCCACTTAAAGACATGAAACAGTTTATACTTTTATAGATAGCTACGTCACTAATCGTTGTCGCCAACGCACCTTCTCCGTGCCATTTTAGACTATTAATACCAAGGTTGTTAGCTTGATAACGAGTTGTTTTTAATTCCACTTATAGAGAAAAAACAGTGCCTACTTTTGTGCAGCAGTGTAGCAGACCGTAGCCTCGAGCACAGCTCCTAGGTACAGTGCGATGAGGAAACAGAAGCAATTTAATCTACGGCACGAACGGACACTCGGAACTTCTAAGGAACCGAGGGCATTTATGGGGCCGAGCTTCTATAATTCGGATAATATTCATGGGATGTACTTCAAAATATAATCAATATAGTGCGGAAATCAAAAGTTTATACTATAAGGTTGAACTGTAGCAATTGTTTTAAATTTGAATTATTTGTGTGTCATTTTGTTCAATTTATTTATTAAAATCTCGGCCTCTATCCTCAAATGATTATGGAATGATAACACTGTAACTGTTTAATGATAACACAGTGTATTTGTAACTGTTTCATTCACTTTAAGGTAATACTCAATTTATTTCAGCATTTGTTTATTAAAAAAACATCATCTCATGAAATCATTTCCATGCTTAATGGACAATTTAATCGTCGACAATTGTTCTAAGAGTAATTGTAGGAGTTAATAAATACATTCACTGAGTTTAATGAGGAAGCTCCGGGAGAATAGGAAAGCCTTTGATATCAATAATGATTAACTGAGCATCTAAATCACTTGAATTCATAGAAGTTATTAAAGTTTCTGTATCACCAACTGCACGTGTCACATTCTCCGTGACGAAGAAGTGAGCTGGCATGCAACAGTGCGTTATTCTGGGCAGCGTAGACACTCGCGACAGCTGATGTCACAAGCTCCTTTGATGCCGTATGAGTACAAGCTTCTTTAATGAATACATCGATAAACATATATTATAATCTTGTCAATGAAATCACCAGATAGTCTTTATAACCCTTTAATACGGGCAAATTAACGAAACCTTTTAAATCAATAAATATTGTCCGGATATCATGACCGGAGGTTTTCGGGACCGATTTGATGAAGTACTGATAAGGCCTTATTGGCAGGAATCAACATGTTATTCGAACAGAATTAATAATATTCGTTTTTATTAAAAAAAATTCTGTATATGAGTAGACGAGGTAAGGTTAACATGAGATCGACATCTAATTCACAATGGATACTTACCAGAAATTGACTAAAAAGGCAGAAATCAAAAATCATCCTGATTGGAGAATGTTGAAAAGAAAATGTCCGGTTGTTAAAGGTAAGTCACGAGTCCTCGAGTAACGTATCAATTTCCCATATTGATCAACAACGATGCTCGGCATGAATAAAATAAGTGTGTAGAAATTACGATAGTGATAAAAGAACACTTTCAAAACTAATTCGGCTCGCAAGATGATAACGCAACCATGAACAATCTTCTTTTAGGAAAGATGTTTTTAATCGTTATTCTAAAGGATAAACTTTATCCTGAAGTAGACCGACCTTCTTTAGTCTTTTAGGAAAGATGTTTTTAATCGTTATTCTAAAGAACAAACTTTATATTAAAGTAGACTGACCTTCTTTAGTCTTTTAGGAAAGATATTTTTTAATAGCTATTTTAAAGAATAAACTTTAAATTGAAGTAGCCCGACCTTCTTTAGTCTTTTAGGAAAGATGTTTTTAATAGCTATTTTAATGATTAATTTTTAAATTGAAGTAGCCCGACCTTCTTTAGTCTCTTAGGAAATACGTTTTAATCGTTATTCTAAAGAATAAACTTTAAATTGAAGTAGACCGACCTTCTTTAGAAGACGAGACGTTGTCCTTGGCTTCGTTCACAGCCTGCCGCAGATCCTGTGCCGACCAAGACATGGGCCGACCTTTGCTCCATGACGAACCCCTGACAGAGAAAAACAATAACTTTAGTTGAGTTTTGTGCGAAAATCTAAAGATTTATAAAAAAAACATAACGTTTAAAATGAAATTTTATTTCCTACATTTGATAAATTCATTTCTAGGTAGACAGTGATTAAATAGATGTTTTGCAAACTTCTAAGCCGAAAACAAACTTATCCATCAAAAAACATTATTAATTTGCAATGCGCTTTTACTTATTTTTATTCTTGCTTCCTCATGAAATCCCATCTGACATTCATTTTATAAATGAATTACGTAAATGATAAACGGTAAATAGAATCTTTTTGGGGATCCAAACTTAAAAAAACGCGTAATATCTAAATAAAATGCAATTAATGACTTTGAATAGAATGTTCAATCTATGAAATCTATAAATTCTCGACGGAAATGTACATGCAATAAGTCCCTTACGCAATGAAAACTTCCTATAGAAGCGAAAATTCAGAGACGACTCGTTAGACTCAAGTGAAAGACTACACTCGCTCGAAAATTAATTAAAATTAACACGTAAAAACGATGAATACGCACGTGGATTTCGAGGAAAGCCAGCTTTTCTCCGAGCTCTTGTCCGGCTTGTCCTCGGAGGCGGACCGACCGAGCGTTCCCTTCTTGGCTGGACTCTCGACTTCGTCTTTTTGTCGCGTGGTCGACACGAGGGAGTCGCGCGAGCCGTACGCGCTGTTGGTGTCTCCATCGCCTGTCTTCTTTATGAAACTGCTGCTCGGCGCGGGATATATAACAGCTTGTTAAGAAATATAGAGAAAAATTCTGTGCATTATTTTGTTAGGAATTAACTGAAATGATATATAACAGCTTGTTAAGAAATATAAAAAATCTGTACATTATTTTGTTAGGAATTAACTAAATATTTCAGAAAAGTAACAAACTTGGGAATAAAGCTGCGTGGTGCGAGATAAATAACAGCTTGTTAAGAAATATGTAAAAAAATCTGTACATTATTTTGTTGGGAATTAAGTAAAATATTTTAGAAAAGGAATAAACTTTAGAATAAAACTGCTCGGTGCGAGAAATAACAGCTTGTAAATAAATATGATGTAGAATTCCATATATGATTATGTAAGTAAGTAGGCAATAAACTTTATGGAAATAACAAATTTGAGAATAAAATGTAGACGTAGGAAAATGAACCGCTTCTTTCAACCAGTTTTTCCCGTGAATTTATTTCCCATTTGTTCGGAATTGATCATTGTTATTTTACATTCAAAGCCTAAAAGTGGGTTATATTTAAATAATTGAGTCGGAACCAAATTGCAACACATGACCAGCAATGAAACTGAATGATAATTGAACTTGAATTTAGAAACATATTGAACTGTCAGAATTGAAATCCAAGTCATCGGGTACATCAAGCCGTTCAAGATAAATTTAAAAGGAACGAATAGGTTAGACCAGAAAATTTTTCCTGTAGTAGGGGCGTCAATATTTTGCTGTCCTGTTCTGTTTTTAAACCTTTGAACTTCTATAAGAGAACCTATAGAAAGAACAATAATGTATTTTTATTTTCTTTTGATGTTACTGTTTGTTGATCAGTAGCCAAGATTAAATCTTAACTAAATCATCATTAGCTTGCACTTATAGCTCACAAAAGCTGATGTATGTATTCTGTTCTGTCAGAATTTTACTGTGTACCATATCTGTATATCAAATCTTTCTGCCTTTCATTACTTCCATATAGCTATACAATTTCAAGCAGTTAACCTGAACTCTGTGTATAAATAACCTTTGCGCCATATATAAATGGTCTGGAGTTTTTGGCGCAACCTAAGAGCATTCTAAGAGGTGTTGCTCTTTGGTTTAGAAATTAACCGTCTGCAGCGAGCCCAATTAAAAGTTTATCATGGCTGACTGAACCTCCATCATTCCGGACGGATAGATAAGGAGCTAAAAGGGCGAGAAAAAGAACCTAATCTCGTCCAAAATCTTTCCGCGGTGGATGCCTGAGCAAAATATCAGCTTTTTGCCGGATTAATGAGTTGTCACCTCAGTTTGGCCTTGAGTTGGCCGACGAAATTGCGTCCGATTGCCCTGATCAGGTAACAAATGAGGAACATCTGCTGAGGAGCGGAAGATTCGTGTCGTTCACCCTGTAATTGCAAGGCATCTCGGGCACCGAATGAAGTGTTCCTGAACTCGTTGTTTCTGAGAACTGAATGGGATTTTTAATGTGGGGACTTTCACTAGAAATACTAGATGATTACACGTCCCTAAACGCTCATTAAATTTCTTAATACAACTGAGGAGTGAATAATCTTTTTATAACGTTGATTATAATAACTTTTAAGTGCTTTTAAGATAACGTTGAAAATAGTTTCATAGTCGAAGCACCAAAATTTGAAGATGGTAATGACTCGGGGCCTAGCTGAACGCGTCAGACAGGGCAGGATATGAAAAACCTAACAGTTTACTTAACAAAGAATGACATATCCGTTTGTGACAGAAGCCTGAGTTTTTTTAACCTAGGAATGTGCTCAATCCAAAAACGTTTTTTTCTTGCCCCTGTTCTAATGAAAAGTTTAATATATAAAAAGCTTCACGGTATTTAAAACCAGGATTTAAGTTAATGGACTCGAGGCCTATATTGAAACACTGGACTAAATTTAAACAGGTGAAAATATCTATCATTATAAATATCCCTTTTTTCATTTATTTAATTTCAAAGTAATTTAATTTTTTAAATTTCACTTACAGAGAGAATTTAACAAAAAGCTTTCATCTCAAAAATTCATGTTAGTTAATTCATTTCATTATTTTTGTACTCAAATACTTGGTTATTGAAACTGTACCCGTTGGCTGAATTTTTCATTCGTATCATCAAAAATGCAGTATCACACATTGAAGCACCAGTTCACCATGAAAATTCTAGTATGATCGCTTCATGCTTTATTTTCATTGCAATCAGCCGCTCGCCCTGCATATACTTTAGGAAGAAAAAGTTCTTCAATATATTAGAAGGTATTGAGGCATGAACTTAGCTAACATGCTGTATAAAGTCACGTTTGTATTATGCAGAAAAATTACGATGGTTTAGTACTTCATGAGCTTCCTTCCTTTGATAACATGCAGTCACGTTCTGGTATAACTAAATTATTATATTATGTTACTTTAAAATGTTTTGACTCGAAAAAATTCTAATGATTGAAAGACTTCTACAAACTGAAAATTTCTGCAGTTTATAATTAAAGTTTGCTAATGAATGAAATGATAACGAATAAATTATCTTTCTAGCCTCTAAGGCCTCTGGAGATTTAAATTCAAGTGACTCGCATTATAATTTGGTCATTAGAGAGGCAAGGCGACTTAGCTTAAAATCACAGAGATAAACTCAGAGCGGAAAGAGCAATTAAAATAACGAGTGGAGATTCATCTCGTGGCGCTTGCAATGAAAATTACGACGAGGAGAATTTCTTTTATGGTTCTTTTTAGACAGAAGTGCAATACTGTTCTCTGGTGCAGTGGTCAAGTCATGAGACATGAACTGTAGCAGGAGAAGGCGACTGTCATACGTCCATTTAAAAAACGTATGTCTCATCAATATTGCTGTAGCAGTGAGCTTATTATCTTGAACTATTAATAAGATATCAATCGGGAGGCACGAAAGCCTCGCAGAAGTAATCCTTATTCTCATATAAATTTAAATGCAACGCGCATGACCATTTTTATACCAGAACATGGGGAATTTATATTTTTAAGCACTACCGTTTATGTGGCAGCCGTTGCAATATAATGTTATCGCTGTACGTTATTGGTAACTAATTAACGCAAAAAAGTTTTTAGTATTCAAACATTTTTTTAATAGTATTTAATGTTAAAAATTTCCATTAACTACATGCGCTATGAAAATCCTTCTATTTTAATTTTAGAGTATGAAGGATATTATGTTGTGTTTTAAACAATATGAGCTTGACCCAAGTCTGAAAAATCACATTTTTTCATGTCTCAGTTTTTAAAGTAGATTATATTATAGAAAAACATGTCTAATCAATATGATCGACAAAAACCGAATCCGGCATTCCTAACAAGCAACAATAAGCTAAAGCGAGACTGCAAACAAATTTCAAGGTTAATTGAAAATTTCAAGCTCAATTTCAAGGTTAACGGCCTCATTGAGGCAGGTAAATTATCTTAAATTAATGGTTGAAACTTGACTGGAATCAGGACACAGCCGTTAAAAGTCTTCAGGTAAATACGAAGTAGCATGGAAATCAAATTGCAGCAGTTGTAGCGCGACTGTGATTACTATATTTAAGTTTGATAGCTGACATCGGCAGTGAATGCAATGCATGCTTCATCACCTAGTTGCTGAGTATTCAGACAGAACACAAACTCTGGAGCATGATGTCAATATTTACTTTTTACGATCGAACACAAGATTATAGAGAAGGTATTGGCCAGTAGGTTTCATGTCTCTACTCACTATTCTAGAACGAGGAATGCAATGTATTGATGCATAGAAGAAAGCCAATCAGAAGTTTTTAAAGCGAAGTTTTTGAAAAATTTAAGATCGAATGTAGATTCTCAGCTTTGCTTGCAGATTTCGGGGCGAAAAATCTTAACTGGATTAAAAATTCAAGACTTGAAATTAAATGTTAATTCGAGGCTAAGAAGTTACGTCAAAACTAATGTTCTGTATTAACGTTATACATGCGGTCGGTAATACACATTTGCGGGTCTATTGAAAACCGAAGATCAACAATTTTTGTTATATTAGTAATTTTGATACAAAACGTTCGTTTTATTCCTTTATTCAAGGACCGACGTTTCTATTGAAATTTAATCGAGTCTTTTAAAATTGCCTGGAAGTTTTTTTTCGATGACGGTAATGAAGATTTTAATTCGAAATTAAAGATGCAATGAACGTTTCGAAACTAGAAGGTTCCTTCAGAAAAGTGGTTGCATTAGCTATACAATGTACATTAGATTTAAAAGCAAATTTCACAAAAATTTATGTGACAATGTAGTAAAAAAAATACGTTGACTCTGTGCTTAAGAAAATACTGTGATCGCACATGCTCTTGTGAATCAGAAAAGTAAATGAAGTTTCATTGAATAAAGAACAATAATGTACTGATTTTTATTACTATTAGGTAGTCGTAATCAAATATTCATGGTTCACGTGTGTACTAATTTTATTTTAAGATGAATAGTATTTTCACTGGAACAAGAATTGTTGGGTAATAAATGAGATTGTGCAGCTGCAATTTTGTGCAATACATACTTCAAAATTGTAACTCATTGTATAAAAAATGTCATTCGACTATATAATATTCAATAAAATTCTATATGAAATTGTGAATTACCATGGAACTGATCATCCGATTCCCTCTCATAATCAAGTATTGAAAGTTAAATTCTAATCATCCATCGAACCTCATTTGGGATTAGCTCATTCATTTTACGGCAAAATAATGAAGGAACTCTAAGAGGATTTACATCAGATTATCGTGGGATTGCTAATTGGTAATAAAAAATCTCATGAATATTTGCGAAGCCAACTAACAACAAAATCCTCTGGCTTATTCAGGATGTTCGTAGATCCAAGATTCCTTCTTCAACAATGTTGTGAGCAATGGAAACTTTTATGATTAATTCAAGGATAAATATTTTTGCTCTAATCAATGAACAAAGAGTAAAACTTGATGGCATGTAATTGAGTCCATTTCACCAAAATTTAAAGTGCACGTAGCCTAATTAGTGAGGCTTGAGAGCCCGAATCCTTTTTAGGAAAGATGGGGCCTATGTAGGTTTAACGTTTCAACTAATTCGTGCCTCCCAATTTAACTTCGTATATTGACCTGATATTGACCAACGCACCGAAACCAATTAGCCTCGGACCTCTCCTTTTGATATGAATTTCTTCTCCTGGTCCCACGTCATTTACCTCGTCGTTAGAAGCAGAAGTATTTAGACGCTTCTTTTGCCCCACAAATGTGATGCTTTGAAGCCGAACTTTCAAACGCTCCTGTCGAGTCAGTGTTTACGGAGACTTGCAAACGGACGGTGTGATCTAGATTTGATTTTCTCGTGAGTGCTGGACAAGATGACTTTGATCTCGCTTTGATTTCATTTGTAAACAAATCAAGAAAGCGATATTGCTTCTATCAGTTCAGATTCAACTAGGACAGGAATCATTAAATGACGGCGGGGTGTAAATGAGGGATTAATTGCTATTCATTGGCCATTGCATTGATTTACTTGTAGTGAAAATTGACCTGATGCTGACATTCTATGAGCCGGAACAATATAAGGTGCGCACTGTTGCCTGCTGGAATTTAATTAGAAAATTAAAAGCTAGGAAAAAACACGTCTGTAATAAACAATCATCATCTGCATTATTAAGCTCAATTCTCTAACGCTGCGAATTTTTTTATTTATTTATTTGCGTCGATAACGATCCATTCTCAAAAATTTTCAGGTTTTGAAATTAATGGACAAAAAATTGAGTCGATTTTTATAAGTTATGTTTACATAAAATAGGTAGAATTTCACCTTTAAAACAGTTTGCAGCAGCAAGAATAAATTTCTAGCTACATTTCAATTTTAGACTTAAAGAAATTGCTGCATATGCATTTCGTGCTGCAGTTAAACAAAATAAATTTAAGAGCACCTAAAATAATTGTCCAACTACATGGGCGTCAGTTTTCTTAACTTGCGAATTTAACTCGTAAGTTAGAAATATCTTACAACTACAAATAAGTACGTAATATAAAATTAAGAAAACCTTTTTGCTTACATAAATTGTGAAACCTATTTTAAAGAACTATCAAACAACTAGTAAAAAGAGAAAAAGTGATAGCCTTTTCAGGGACTAATGAATATCTAGCGAAATATGACGTAAATCACCAAAAAAACACAAAAAT